TGAACCTATGCCCCACAGAGGGGTTGATGAACCCTCCCGTGGGGTGTCACCCAAGGGGTAGTGGAGGGCACAGAGAGTGTATAGCAGACCCTAGAACTTGCGTCTCTTAGGGACAATCTACACAGCAGTCTACCTGGGGACACAGACTAAGTTCTAGGGGCTGCCCAGCCACAGCCAGGGAAACTTAGCAGCTTGTGTGAGATGCCAACCTCATCTTCTACAACCCCACCCCTCCCGTTACTGATACGAGATGGTCCGGCTTAGAGGGGTTCCCAGGAGACCTCTTATACACGTGGTGTAAGAAACAGGAATCTCCAGGATCCAAGGCTTAAAGTGACAAAGAAAATGAAGGTTAAGTCATCTTCCACAAGGGACTTCCCACAAGAGCCATCAGCCCATTCGGGGGGCCGTCTTTTCCACGAGGCCTCGCTGTCTGACTTATGGTCTATGTGCTCCTTCTGGGAAGGCCCCGGGCCCAGGCTGCAGCGGGGTACAGGGTGAAGGCCAGCAGTTCTTTCCTCATTTGCCCCCTGCGTTGCCTGCTCCCTTGGGCAGTGGGCTTTCTCAGATACACACGTTCTCTTGCCTGTTCTCTTTTCTGTGCGGGGAGGTGGCTCAAGGTGGGATTCGATTCCTATCTGGGAAGATGGTCCTATTCACTAAATCCCCCAGCCGTAGCAGAGCAAAGTCCACCCAGGACAACTAGAGCTCACTATTGCCTCCTTCCAATATGGGTTTAAAACAAAACAAAACAAAACAAAAAGGCTCTGCTATAGTGCAATTTTCCCCCAAAGGAGCCAAGGGGAGGACAGATGTTCCAATCCCAATACCATTGGAAACTTGACCATGAGGTCGAGGCAGACCTTTAAGCTGCCCTTCAGTACATGACATTTCCTAGAATTTTCCCTCTTGGGGGCTCAGGGGGAGGGGGAGATGAACTGGGACTGAGAGGTGGCAGTGTGCAAAGGAAGGGAGGGGGTGAGGGAGTGGCTCCACTGGGCGGGCTGCCTATACCTGCCACCCCAACACAGAGGGGCAGAGGAACTGGAAAAAGACCACCGTGGAGAACAAGAGTTAGTGGCCAGGGGCCCTTAGGAGCTGCTACAGCCTGGCCTCCAAGAAGGGAGCTCTGGCTCCACCCAGAATTCACCCTTCGGAAACCAGTTCAGCAAAGTGCTTCCCCACGGCGCCATTCGTCCCCTCCCTGGGGTGCCCAGCCCAGAGCCCGTGCTCCCAGGCCTGTGTGCGGGGACGCTGGGGGGAGGAAGGGGCATCTTACACACATGCACACAGTGGAGTCTCCTGACTCTGGACAAGCACAACGGCATGTGGCAGAAGGACAGGTGCAGTCCCAGCGGGCAGGGCGGGGGCGGGCGCCGAGGGACTTGTACAAAGTGCTGGGCCACACGGGGCGTCCTGTCCAGGGCCGAGCCCTATGGGATCTGAAAGACGTTCAGCTTGCTGGTGTTCTTGAGCGTCTGGCGCCGATTGCAGAACCACACCCTGACGACCTCCCGGTCGTAATTGAGCTCCTTGGCGATCTCCGTGATCTCCTGGCCAGTGGGCAGCGGGTTCTTCTCGAAGTAGGCGTTGAGGGCCTCGATGGCCTGCGGGGTGAAGGAGGTGCGGCGCTTGCGTTTCTTGGAGGGCTCCCCGCCCACGAACTCCATCAGGTTCTGCTGGCCTTCCTGGTTGCGCAGTTCAGCCTCGTTCAGCCACTTCTCCAGCACCGGCTTCAGCTTCTGCGCGCTCTTGGGGGTGATGTCCAACTTTTCGAACCTGCGGGCGCCCACCCCCGAGCCAGGAAGGAACAGTCAAGAGGGTCTCCCTCCCTTCGGCAAACAACACCCCCCCACCTCCGCCCCAGCTCACCCCCAGCCTCTCCAGCCCCTCGGACTCTCCTGGGAGTCATTCCACTGACACTGCTCAGGGTTAAGTGTGTGTGATGGCAGTGATGCAACTGCCTTTTCAATAGTCAGGAGCCCTGGTGCATCATGGGTTATGTACTCCAAGGTCGGCAGTTGGAAACCACCAGCTGCCCTGAGGGAGAAAGACGAGGCTTCCTGCTCCTACCAACAGTTCCAGTCTCGGGAACCTCCGGGGCCGTTCAGTTTTGTCTTTAAGGGTCGCCCTGGGTGAGGACGGACTCAATGGCTCTGAGTGCGGCTTGGGAGTGTTTCAAACAAGCATGCCGGCACTGTGGGCAGTCTCTCAGGGAGGCATCTTGAGCCCACCCACCAACACCAAATAGGTGGGGTGCCTGAAGGGCTGCCCCCTCTAGGGCACTGTCCGAGCAGCACCACCGACCCAGCAGGGCCCTCTCTTTTCAGCAGAGCCCAGAGGAGACTACAGAATTCCTAACGTGATTCCCGTAGGGATGAGTCTTGGGCTCCCCAAAGAATACCCCAGGCATGCTCGGGGTTGGCAGATACGCTTCAGAGTCCGCAGAAAGACCAGGCTGGTCTTTGGTGACTGCAGGTGTTCATGTCGCCCCTGATGTGATGAAGGTGGGAGTAAGGGAGATTATGGAACGAGGCTGGGTGGCTGGGTCCCTGTGAGTCCCCAGGAGCAGCAGGTGGGAGCAGGCCTAGGCCAGGCCCAGGGCTGCCTCACTTACCGGCAGATGGCCGACTGGCTGTAGGCAGGGCCCTCTGTTGCAGTCAGAGCCTGACCCACCTGGGTCTGGGTGAGGCCCAGGGAAAGCCGGCGGATCTTAAAGTTCTTGGCAAACTCCCGGATCTCTTCTAAGTTGATTCCATCCTCATCCAGACTCTGGGTATGTGGCTCTAGGCCAGAGCAAGGGACCCGGGGTGGGTGTGTTAGATGGGATCACCACAGCAGAGCTGGCCCAAAGGCTTGGTCTGGCGCAGTAATGGGGGGTCAGAGCTGACCGTGATTGGGGGAAGGGCTGCGCTCCCAACAACCTCGGAGGGGGCTAGGGATCTATTTGAATCTCTTCCAGTTCTGACTGCCTGCACTCCCCACCCTCCATTCCTGCCCCAAGCACTCCCATTGGCCACCCACATTCCTCAAATACTGGGTGAGAGCAGGAAGCAAAGGCAGCCAGCGGCTTGGTCTCCTAGACAAACAGCCGGCCACACAAAACAGCCCCCTCGACCACTGACCATCATGCCCAGAATCGAGCTCAACAGGAATGGGAATGAGAACCCCAGCTCTGAGCACTGGCCTCTGCCTTTCCCCCCATGGAACTCTGGGAAGTTTATTAAGAACAGCATTTAGGAGATTGGATTGCCCAGACTCTGCCTCCCTGCTTCTCCACACACCTCCTCCTCCGGGACCCACTTACTAGATACCAGCTGGCTGACGGTAGGGGTTTCTGAGCAGGTAATTGGGATGGGAGCCGAGGCTGATGGCTTGGCCACTGGGGCTGGGCTGGCAATGACCACAGTGGGCTGCTGCACCGCTGGTGTGGGCTGGATGGGCTGCACCTGGAAGAGAGAGGCGGAAGCCCCTGTGGCCCACCTGCCCGGCTCAGGGGGTTTATTCTCAGGGTGGGCCAGAGGCCGGGCGTGAACATCTCACTTCCTCAGCACACCTCCACCTGTGCCCTTCAAGGCTAGGCGCTGCTCAACAACACCTGGCCCAGCAATGCCGTTCTAAGTCGGGATAGCCACGTGTCCAACCAGGCTGCTGGAGCCCTGCAGCCCCCTGGGTGTGACCCAGCAGGTCAGAGGCTCAGAAAGGATCAATATACTTGACTAAATCCAAACAACTGGTTTTGCACACTGGATGAACGTATGGATTGTGATAAGAGATGTAAGAGCCCCCGATAAAAGTATTTAATTAAAAAAAAAATCCAAACAATCATCCCCCCACTTGTGATAACTGCTCTTACATCGCTGCCCTCTGGAGGAGAAAGCAGAGCCCAACTCTCCCGTCTGCCAGGCCCCGAACGCCGTCCACAAGGAACGGCCGGGGTGACTGCTGAGGGCTGTGGTAAAAGGACGCGGTGACTGCTGAGGGCTGTGGTAAAGCAGCTCAAAGGCGGCATTTCTACCTGCTAACCACTAACAGGGCACATCCCTGTGTTAGGCGGACACTAAAGATTCATGTTCAAAACCACTTTTTACAAAACAAATCCTTTAAAATATTAGCTATGAATGTACAAGAACATCTTGAAGCAGAAAAGAAAGCTGTGAGCACTCTCTGGGGTAAGAGGAGGGGGCTTTTACTTTTTACGTCACATGTAAAGGGAGGATTGTTAGCAAAAAAAGAAATCATGTATTATTTTTTCCATCAGGAGGAACTATAAATACAGGTCCCCACTCCGTATCTGGAAGTAAGTGTGCCGATGAAAGCTTTCCTTAACCGAAATGGCATTAAGCGAAGAGATTTTTGCCATTCATTTATATTGGGAATATTTTTGAACGTTCCCAGACCTCAGACACAGCCTCTCAAGAATCATACCAAGTATCACATGAAACCTAAAATAGTACCAACATATGGTATTCACAGACACAGTTCAAAACTCTTTAGTGGCTCACTGCACGGCAAATGTTTTGCTTTTTATTTTCTTGTAAAAGAGAAAATTCCCTTTTGACTTCCTCACTGCCATCGAGTCAATGCCGACTCACAGTGATTCTGTAGGACAAGGTGGGCCTGCTGTGAGACTCCAAGACTGCGGGTCTTTGTGGGAATAGAAAGCCCGTCTTCCTCCCGCTGGTGGTTTCAAACCGTGGACCTTACAGATTGCAGCCCAACTCAGAACCTCTATGCCACCAGTGCACCTACTTTAGATTAGCAATAAGTCCTATTGTAGGTCTTTTTTTAAAGAGAAATGGCGATGTCGGTGAACTTTTGAAAAGCAGGGGATATAGGATCACCATTTCCAGTGTGATTTTAAAAACCTTCCAGGGAGTACAGGTTTCTCTAGGATGGGTCCCCTCCCCAATCCTAGCCCCTGCTGGCTCTCCAGCCCACTTCCTCTTTGCTCCTCGTCTCCTGTCTAAAATGGCAAAACAGGAGCTGTTTAAAACGCCTCCTAAGGTGCTGGTGATAACATGGGTGGACCGCTCGCCTTCCACACCAAGTGACCTGCATTTGGCTCCTAGCCAAGGAACCTCATAGACAACTACCACCTGTCAATGGTGGCTACGTGTTGCTCTGATGCTGAATAGTTTTCAGCAGAGCTTCCACACCAAGGTAGGTCGGGAAGACAGGGCTGTGGATCTACTTCTAAAAATCAGCCAGTGGAAAAACGCCATGGAGCATGACATTCCAATTCACAATGGGTCATGGAGATGGCATTTCGCGCCATTCTGTATGGGTGAGGGCGTGGGGCGTGGGCACAACTCAGTGGTAGGGAGCAGACAGCAGGTGGTGGTGGCTCAAGTCTTCACCTAGATAACAAGGGGACGTAAATAGGAGCCGCCATCTCCCTACTAAAACTTCTTCAGTGGCTCCCGACAGCAGCTGAGCGAGGTGACCATTCGCACCCCCCAGGGACTCCAGAGACCATGACTTGGACACACCTGGGGCTGCCGGAGTTGGTGTTGACTCGACAGCAACTGTCATCACAGCCTGTGTCCGTGGCTTGTGAGGCGCGCGCACACACACACACACACACACACACACACTCACTCACTCGTAGGATGAACAAAGGAAGGAATCTTGCTGGCTGGGGCGAAGAGTGCAGGGAGGAGGGAAGAGGGAGGAGGCAAGGCGAACTTACACCACTGCTCACTGCCTGCAGTCTGTGCACTGGGAGCTGATCCTGGCCACTGTGCAACGACCACCACCCTCTCTGGCCTCCTCCAAACACCACTGACTTCTCAATATTCACATACAAGAATGCTTCAACGATTTCATGTGCCAATTCCACTTTCCATGAACTTTTGAAGCTCTCATGTGTGTTCTTAGTGTGTGTGGCTGGGGGCTGGGGCACGATTTCCTGCACAGGGCAGCCTTCTCACTGGCACCTCCCTCACTTCGAGGAGGGGCCTGCTCTCCCAGGGACCTCAGCACCGCCTGCCCCACCGCCCCAGCCCTTGTACCTCGCTCTTAGCAGGGGACTCGGGTGTGCTTGGCTTCCGGACAGCTGCAGGTGGCGGAGGCAGGGGGCTGCTGGCCAGGGTGGCAATCACCTGGCCCTGGGCGTTCAACAGCAGCTGGGGAGTCACAGCCTGGACCTGCAGGCTTTGGGCTGGGGCTGGGGCTGCCACGCTCGTTGAGTTCACTACCCATGGAAGCGTTCCGATCACCTGGGAGAAGATAAGGTGGGGACTCTCAGGAGGGAAGGCATGCTTGCGCTCCAGCCCCGCATCTCGAGCTCCCACGCTGGCAGCCGGAAAGAGCATCTTGGACAAATCACTGAATTCCTCAAAGCTCTTTTCCTCATCACTAAAGTGAAGAATTCACACGCTGGAGCCGCCTCTGCCTCCTGGATTCTCTCCAGAACCGAAATGGAGCAGAAACAAGCCTGGCTGTGGGTTCGCACGGACCTGGGGGTGGCAAACCCCTGCTCTGTGCACCCTCACTTGTCTGAACCCCAGCCTTCCTCTCTCTAAGATGGGGGTAGGACTCACAAGCTGAAGGGTCGGCATGCAGAACACAGTAAGAGGTGTGAGCCAACCAAGGGTAGCTGACACCTGTGAACCTCAGAACCCGGGTCCCCGTACCTGTCGTGCGCAACTGTCCAAGGGGAACCTAATATGCGGAGTGAACTGAACTATCAAATTGTATGTGTGAGCTGTATGTCAGTAAACTTTTAAAGAACAAAACAAACCACCCCACCACAACAAATGAAGTGAAACGATGTAGATAAAATAGGCACCTAGCAGACAGCTCAGCCACTAAGCAGTGAATAAGTCTCCCCAGGGCAGGGTGCCCGCCTGGGCACCAGCAGCAGGCAGCACAGGGTCTCTGCCTTCTCCACAGGCCCGCCCACTCGGCTTGGCTGTGACCACTTGCCTGTCCCTGAGCATTGGTGAGGATCTGGTTGCTGATCCCTGGCATGCTGGGAATGGCGTTGGCAATGACCGGAGTCGTAGTGAGGGAGCCCAGGATCTGGGTCTGTCCCCCTAGGGAGGCAGCGCTGATCTGTGGGTAGAGGAAGAGCTGTGCTTAGGGGCTAAGCAGGGAGCAAGGGCCCTGAGGTGGGGAGACAGGCACGCTGGGCCACACGGTATAAAGGTGGCAGCAGGCCCCTTGTGCCAGCTGAATGTCGGGGCCACTGGGGGAAGTCGAAGTGGAGGGAAGCTCAACCCTGGCTACTCTTTCAGGCTGGCCTTCGAGGTGGAAGGGCCGAGCCCCGATAGGCCCGAGTCTAATCGCCTCGTGCAGCTCCCGCTAGGAAGCCGGGAGCCTTGCCAACCATTCTGGACACGGGCTCAGGGGAGGGGCTGTGGGTCTCGGCTCGCAGGTGGGCACCCACCCTGACGCCCACCCCCGCGGCATCGCCCCACCCTCGGAGGCTGGTCCAGATCTGGAGGTGTGCTCGGAGCTCTGGCAGAGGCGGTCTGCCCGGGTCTGGGATGGGCAGGCTGGCAGCCGGAGGTTGGGCAAAAAGCTGGACGCAAAGGCTGGTCCTCCACTGCCTTCCTCCCCTTTAGGGCGGGGCCGTTCCACCCTCGGGCCAAGATTCGGTCTGTCCCTGCTCAGGCCTCGGGGAGGGCGGCCGACGGCTTACGATTCCGGGGCTAAACGCGAAGCCTGCCGGCTGGACGGCGATCTGCGGCGCGCTGTCC